AACCTCCTAATCCGCCCTGCTCTGTGCATGACAGGGGGCGGCGCCCCAACTCCCCAATCGGCCCTGCTCTGAGCCCGACCAGGGGCTGCACCTAGGGATTGGGCCTGCCCTCTGCCACCCGGGAGCAGGCCTAAGCCAGCAGGGCATTATCTCCTGAGGGGTCCCAGACTGCGAGAGGGCACAGGCCGGGCTGAGGGACCCCCCCTCCCCCCCGAGTGCACAAATTTTTGTGCACCGGGCCTCTAGTATAGTATAAATATAATTGCATTTAGCATGTTCAAGCTCTTCTAGCATGATAACCCTTATGCATCTTTATGCTACTTTGCATACTCCCGTTCTGCCATCTCACCAGCGAGGGGGCCTGGGACAAGTTCCTTGACCTCTCTGTGCCTCTGTGTCCTCATCTGTAAGAGAAGGCTGTAGGACAGGGGTGGGCAAACTTTTTGACTCGAGGGCCACAATGGGTTCTTAAACTGGACCGGAGGGCCGGAACAAAAGCATGGATGGAGTGTTTGTGTGAACTAATATAAATTCAAAGTAAACATCATTACATAAAAGGGTACGGTCTTTTATTTCAATAGTTTTATTCATTTCAAACGGGCCGGATCCGGCCTGCAGGCCATAGTTTGCCCACGGCTGCTGTAGGACCTACCGCCCAAGGTTCTGGTGAGGATTCAGTGAATAATTATATGACAGCACTTAGAAGAGTACGTGGTGTGCAGAAAACATTCAGTCCTGTCAACTGGCAGCCTGGCCTCTGTGGCAGTGACAGAAACAGTTTGATCCAGTTGATGTAGCTGGCCCTCGGAAGGCAGTCCTATGTCCATGTTCCCAGCGGCAGGTAAACAAAGTCATAGTTGTCTTCCTGGTCACGTCACAGCCCCACCCCGTCCCAGCACTGTCCCACGGACAGAGAAAGAACTGATTCAGGCCTGGACGGGACCGGGCGGCGGCCCCTCGTGTCCCTTTCCTCTTTACGGTGCTTGTTGCTCCTCTGGAACCCAGGTTAATGCCTGGCAGAGAGGTTCACGGGCATAACATGTTTAGTTTGTACTCTGAATCCTGTTTACGGTTTGTTTTTGTTCCTGATTTTTTTTTTAGACTGACCTTTTGCGGAAGGGGACAGTATCCAAACAGGGAAGTGACCTAGCAGAAAGCTAGGGAGTTCCTTGAGCCTCGTGCATTTCTATTCAAGGTTGTTCCCAAATTGTATTTTTAAACACATCTGATCAGTGTTGGCGTCAGACGTGGGTTCATCTTCCTCTTGGGCCCTTTTGCTTCTTGCCAGTGCCTATCGAGCAACTTGGGCTTAGTGAAGAGATTTTGTCTTCATCCCAAGCATATTCATGATTTATAACAAGGCAGGTTTGCTGAAAATGTATTGATGAGAAAGTTAGAATTGGTGCTTTTTCCATCTCCCGGAGCGACTTTAAAAGGGACGCTATACCTAATGGGATGCATGAAGGTTGTCTTGTGTCAGGTGGCAGTTAGCTAAATATAGTTAGGGAGCTGGGAGGGACCTGCCGAGGTCATCTCTACCCTCCCACCCGCCTTCCCATCTGAATGTCTCTTGTACTGTGCAAGCCAGTGCAGTAGCCACAGCCACGCATGGCTTCTGAGCCTTCCGGCTGTGGCTAGTGTATGCTGAGTTGTGCTGTTGGTGGTAAAATACACCCTGGATTTCAAAGACTTCATACAAAGCAAAGAATGGAAAATGTTTCATCCATAACTTTAGATTAATTACAAGTTGAAATAATAATATTTTGACATATTGGATTAAATAACATTTATCATTAAAATTAATTTCACCTCCTTTTTTAACTTTGAATATATGTGAAATTCCATAGTCCATATCAATATCTATCCACTTCTGTAGACCATCTAGTTCTATTCCTCGTGCCCCCAGGACAGACTGTAGAGCCTTTCTTAGAGACTCCTGGGTCTTTTGTCGTTCTGGCACTTGGTTCTTCTCCACATCCCATTTTAATCTCTCCTGCCTCAATTTGAAGACTTCCACTTCCAAATGACTGTTCATCTCCTTTAGAGATCTCTACTGGAGAGGAGTCAAGCATCCTATCTAATAATAGACAAACATGGTAATTAACTGTACCTTCGCTACGCCTTCCATTGGCTAATCAGCATGATATGCAAATTAACCACCAACAAAGATGGTGGCTAATTTGCATACTGCAGGCAGGGTGGGTTCGCGCCATCCCACCTTCCCCCCCCACCATCCGGGCCTGCTATTTGCCACCCGGGGCGGTGGGGTGGGACAGTGCCATCCCACCTGCCCTGCCGCCATCCGGGCCTGCTATGTGTTACCTGGGGCAGCAGGCGTCCTGTGTGCGACCCGACCCGGGGCAGCGGGGCGGGACAGCGTGGCTCCTCTGTCACCCCAGCTTCCTCATCACAGCTCCCTTGGGGGCCTAAGCCTTTAGTCAGACATCCCCCAAGGGCTCCCTGGCTGCTAGAAAGATGTCTGACTGCAAGCTTAGGCCTGGTCCCCTGGGGAGTGGGCCTAAGTCTACAGGTGGACATCCCCCAAGGGGTCCTGGACTGCAAATGGGTGCAGGCCAGGCTGAGGGACCCCCCCCCCTCCTGAGTGCACAAATTTTTGTGCACCAGGCCTCTAGTCTTTTCATATTGTTCAATTGTAAGCTCAATAACCCCATAGCCTTTCACCTTTTTACTTTGTCCCCCTTTTCCAACTCTGATGAGGTTTTGTGACCTTTGCTGGGTCGTCTTTGGTCCATTATTTTTAAAACTTGGTATCCAGCTCTAGCTGGTTTGGCACAGTGGATAGAGTGTCAGCCTGTGGACTGAAGATCCTGGGTTTGATTTCGATCAAGGGCATATGCCCGGATTGCAGGCTTGCTCCCCAGTAGGGGGTGTGCTGGAGGCAGCCAATCAATGATTCTCTCTCATCATTGATGTTTCTATCTCTCTCTCCCTCTCCCTTCCTCCCTGAAATCAATAAAAATATATTTTTTTAAAAACTTGGTATCCAAAACCACCCAATATCACTCTACTGTGGGCCTGACTAATATAGAGACAAGTAGAAGGACTTATTTCCACCATCAAGTACTTGAATGGTTATTTTGATACATTACCTCATTTAATCCTATAACACAAGGAGAGCAGATGCTCTTGGTAACACTCTTGACTGATGAGAGAGTTGAGGCTCAGAGACGTTAAGTAATCAATTGACCAAGGCTCCACTGCAAATTAAGTGGCAGATCTGGGATTTGTGCCCAGGTTTGCCTGACTCCAAAACCCACATTTTTTCATTACATACCTTGCCGATACTTTTCTCCGAATACACCCCTGTGGTCCTGAGAGGCCTTCAGAGTACGTGGCTGTTGCATTTGCGACTTAGTCAGTGATGCCTCTGGAGCTTATTCTGATATGTTTCTGCCTTTCTAGAATTGTGAAGCCCTTATGCTCAATCCCAGAAACCCCTTTTCAACCCTGCAGATACTGCGTGAAAGCCAGTGGGACTGCCCCTCCTGGTAGGGTCATCAAGCTGAGTTTTTCAGGTATCAGGAATGACTTTTCTAGAAGAGAGCTTTCTTTCCTGTGGCCGAAGGTCCTGTGGATAGCTCAGTCCCCAGGACAAGCTACTTCTCAAAGGCCAGTCAAGGCGAAGTGCATTGTATATCCATGTTTACCTAAAGTCAGCAGGTTTGTTTTGATCTGAAGAGATCCTTTTGAGTGTGTTAGAAACAGATCTTCATATGGATGAACCTTGAAGGCATTATGCAAAATAAAAGAAACCAGTCATAAAAGGACAAATACTGTGTGAACCCACTTATATGAGGTACCCAGAGTAGTCAAAGTCACAGAGTCAGAAAGAATGGTGGTTGCCGGGGGATATGGTGAGGAGGGGATGGGGAGTTACTGTTTAATGAGTATGGACTTTTGGTTTGGGAAGATGAAAAAGATCTAGAGATGGATGGTGGTGATGGTTGCTCTACATTGTAATGGACTTAATACCACTGAACTGTGCACTTAAAAATGATTTAGCCCGGCCGGTGTGGCTCAGTGGTTGAGCGTCGACCTATGAACCAGGAGGTCACGGTTCGATTCCTGGTCAGGGCATATGCCCAGGTTGCGGGCTTGATCTCCAGTGTGGGGTGGGCAGGAGGCAGCCAATCAATGATTCTCTCTCATCATTGATGTTTCTATCTCTCTAGCCCTCTCCCTTCCTCTCTGAAATAAAAATGTATTTAAAAAATGGTTTAAATGATAAATATGTTACATATATTTTACCACAATAGAGACAACCAGACAGACCTTGTATACATAGAGAAAGCTATCTTCCATACGTGATCAGCAGTGGAGCCTGAGCTCATTGCTCCTTTGAGACTTGAGCTCACAGTCGTTTTCTGAGTCAGCTTCTTAGGAGCAAGGTGCAGGCTTACTTCATGAGGATGAGGGGAGTCATTTTTTTTTCCTTGACATATTTCTCCATCTCAGAAGTCTTACCAACTTCACACAACTGCCTTTACCAGGAAGTAAACCACTTTTCCACAGACATCTGGAGGTGGGGAAGGGGTGGGAAGCAGCCTTATCCTCAAGGACTCCAGTATATAGACCCTTGATTAAACTTGCCTCTTTTATAGAGATTTTTGTCTTCTGTATCTCCTCCTCCCCCATCTATCAGAAGATGTCTAAGAAAAAGAAAACAACAACAACAACAAAAACCAGGGCTGTAATTCTGTTTGGTTGCACCAAAGTAGTTGCAGCCTCTTTGGAGACCTAAGTGAAAAGTAGATTAAGGACCAAAAACATCTAAGAACGTTTGTTCCATGTTTTCCTGAAGGCACTGCCCTCTGACAATCTGAGGTCAGTTATCCAATCTGATGCATGGGCTGTTTTGAGAAAATTTAGTCAGAGCACCTGGATGGGGACGCTAACCCACAGGCATTCTCTTTGCCGTGTGGTGTTCTGTGTCATTGTGGCCTTGTTTACTTATGTGCCCTGTCTGTTTTCCTTTCCAGGAATCATTAACCAATGGCAACAGGAATCCAAGGATAAAGTGATTTCCCTCCTGTTAACTCACCTGCCTTTGCTGAAGCCAGGAAACCTCGACGCAAAAGTAGAGTATATGAAACTGCTGCCCAAGATCCTGGCGCACTCTATCGAACACAACCAGCACATCGAGGAGAGTAGGCAGCTGCTGTCCTATGCGTTGATACATCCGGCCACCTCGTTGGAAGACCGCAGTGCTTTAGCCATGTGGCTGAATCACTTGGAGGACCGCACATCAACCAGCTTCGGTGGCCAGAACCGAGGCCGCTCGGACTCTGTGGATTATGGGCAGACACACTACTATCACCAAAGACAGAACTCCGACGACAAGCTCAACGGGTGGCAGAACTCTCGGGATTCTGGGATTTGCATCAACGCCTCCAACTGGCAGGACAAAAGTCTGGGGTGCGAGAACGGCCATGTGCCCCTCTACTCCTCCTCATCCGTCCCCACTACAATCAATACGATCGGAACCAGCACAAGTACAAGTAAGTCCCCTGGAAGCCCTTTAGCGCAGTCTGGTTTGGCGACTTGCTGTGTGTGGCATGCCTGCTAGGAATGTCTGCTCTGAGCACAGGTAACCCCGGGAGAGAAGGGCTGATTGGAATTGGCTGTGGGAAGGGATCTTCGGACCCCGTCTTTGTTGCTCTTTTGACTCTGGAAGGATGAAATGCTGGGCAGGTAAAAATGATTGATGGTCCAAATTTGGGTTACAAAAGAGATTAAAAAAAAATTTTTTTTAAATAACTTGGTGAAAGAAGGAAACTTCCTGTTTCCACTAATAGAAATGCTTTCACCCACGTGTCTTTCACCCCCGGGTCTTTGGATTTGCCAAGATGCTGTTATGTGTGAATTTCCAAACCTCATTCTAACCCCTGGTTAACCAGGCAGCCTCATGGGCTTTGTGCATTTTCCCTTTTTCTTTCTTTTTCCTTTTTTTTTAAAAAATTTTCCCCTGGAATGTTCCCTCCCTTGCATCTCCTGGTGTTATCCACAGTTGTTGGGGGGCACGTTTCCTCCTGGCCAGGGGGAGCAGGTTTGCTAACTGAGAATGCTGCTCTGTGCTGTGGCCTGGTGTGAATGCTGTGGTCTTCTCTCGCTCAGTCTAACCTCTTAGGAGATGTGGGTCGGGACCTGCTTTGCAGGGGCACAGGGGCAGCAAAGGACAGCTTTCTACTCTTTTGACCATGAAAGCAAAGTGCCCTGCCCGCAGCTGGGACGAGGGCCGGAGTCTTCTCAAAATGCCATTGGTGCTTCTGCAAAGTAGCAGCTTGGGAGAGTGGGCGGTCATCAAACAGAGCTCCTTGATGCTCGTTTGCACGAGTCTGTGAATACAGTCTCAGTGCTGAGATGACTTCCTCAGGGGAATGCTTCTGCGTTTAGAGCTTAGATGCCAGTGAACATGTGGGAACCCCCACCTAAAAGATAGGAGAGTATTAAGAATTGGCCGTGATGGCTTCGTGGCCTCTACCACCACTTGGATTTTTTTTTGGCAAATAGGCCTTTTAAAATGGCCTTCTCACATACGGAGGGGTGCTGAATTATAACTCCATCAATTGAAACAGTACCTTCGTGAGGTAACCAAGGAAATAATTAAGATACTGCAGTGATGATGCTACAACATGACATTTAAATTCTTTCTACATTTGCAACGAGATACCAATAACTTGCACATTTGGAGAATTGGGTGATTATTGCATCATTAATTTATTATGTCAGAGGTTCTGGTGACTGTCTTTCTCACAGACTAGTAATCCAGGGAACAGTTTCGCTACCCTCCAGTGATGAAAGTGATGCTGGGACTGTTAGAGCAGATGATGCAAGCTGGGGTGACAGAACTTCTTGGCCCAGGTTTCCTGGGTCTGGGAAAGAACCTAGAAATCGTTACAAAACTCCTTGATAGCGGGACAGACTCAAGCTCAGAGCCACTTGCCTTCTCAAAACTTGGTCTTTTGTGTTGTAAGGGGTTGAGTTGACATCATTAGTCTGAACCTTAGTCTTGGGCCACCACCTTTCTGCTCCACTGATTTAAACATTCAAGGTTGGGTCTTGACAAGATTTGTGCCTTCAGGATGGTATCAAATTGTAGTTAACAGGTACTCCTATTTTTCACTGTGGCCACCAGCCTCACCGAGAGGAGGAAGTGCAGAGATGCTATCATGGCCTCCCAGATCTTGTGTAGCACTTGAGCAGAAAAGGACTTGAAGGTTTAACAAGATAACGAGATTACATATCATAGGAAGAAGAAAGGGGTTGGAGCCCTGTTCCCGAGCAAAGAAGATAAGAGCTCAGCTCTTTCCTCCGTAAAGTTTCATTCAAACACTTAGGCCATGTCGACACTTGTATTTTAATGATATCTCTTTAACAAAACATAATGTCATTGCTTTTTCCCCCCTCTGCATTGTCCACAGAGCAGCCCACCTGGCGTGGCTCAGTGGTTGAGCATCGACCTATGAACCAGGAGGTCACGGTTTGATTCCTGGTTGGGGCCCATGCCTGGGTTTTGAGCTTCATCCCCAGTATAGGGTGTACAGGAGGCAGCCAGTCAATGATTCTCATCATTGATGTTTCTATCTCTCTCCCTTTCCTTCCTCTCTGGAAAAAGGAAAAAAAAAAAAAAAAAGACAGTGAGGAGCAAAGTGCAAACACTGATACTCAGACAGTGTCCTCATTTGCATCTTCTGATGGTCACCTGGTAAAAGCACCTTTCCTGGGCCCCAGCCTGGCAGAGTGGTCTCGTGGGCCTTGTGGCCATTTCACCGCAGTAGAAAAGGGCTCAGACTTAAGGCGTCAGGGTCCCGTCTGCTGCTCCGAAGAGCTGCATTTTCCCCCTCTTTCAAATCGGAAAAAACATCTGCACAAAACAACCTGATTATACTAGTAAGTAAAGAACTGAAATCAGTTAGTGCTTCATATTCTCAAATTACCAGCCACATTAATGATGGTTAATGAAAAGAAACTAACCCTCCTTACACAGTTTTTTATTTTTAACCTTGGTTGACTCCATTATTTTATTCCTTTGATCATTGTGCTCCAGCAACATGCCTTAGCATTTGTGGCCTCCTCCCTCTGTGAATTCTGAATCATTCAACTACCCCGCAAACACTTGTTTCATCCACAGATGCTTAGTGCTGTGTTTGAGCCTATGGATATAAGGAAGTTTAAGGGAAGTGTTTCCCCCTTCAGGGAGCCTATAATATAAACAGAGAGAGAAAACGTCTCAATCAGCCTCACAATTAAAAATTAAATGTTCCCTTTCCCCCAGACTTTTATCCACAGAAATTTTACATAACAATTCATGAGTTTTATAAAAATGTAGTTAAAAAACACACACACACACCTCTAAGAGCTGCCACAAGGCAGTATAGGGCTGTTTCAGCTGAGGGGGGTGTGGTGGGGTAGAGTCCGTACTATAAGGACTGTGAGTGTAGGGAGTGGAGAAATCTTTGTGAACTGGAGGGTCAGGAAAACCTTGCAGAGGAAGTAGGAAGTGCACTGGGATGGACATCTAGGGAGGAGCCGGGGAGGGCACTGGGGGTAGGGATATGGGTTGTGGCAAAGCAGTGGGGGTAACAGTGTGCAGGCAGGTTATAGTATGAGGAGGAAGCATAGGTTCACGCAGGACATGGCAGTGAGTAAAGACAATAAGAGCAGACCAAGGGGAGGGGCCTGAAGCCCTAAAGTGGCCAAGCATGACAGCATGGGCATGGGGATGACATGAGCAACATTGTAAGAGATACTGGTCTGTGGACAGATAGCAAGTGATGAATGCAGAGCCAGTGAGTTTCAAAGCCTCAGTGGTGAGGTAATAAAAGTAGCATTAGCTGTGGAGCAGAGGAATGTTCCCAGGTGGATTGCTGAGGATTCAGTATTGACTTGGGCATGCATCACTGATTCGCATATTTGTTTGTTCATTCACTTAGGGAGTGTTCACTGAGCACCAGTATATGCCTCCCCGGCTCAAGACACTCAGGCTATGTTAGTGGACAAGACAAAGCTGTCCTTCCTTGTGGAACCTGCAGTCTAAGAGATTAAGCGACATGGAAATAAGAAAAAGTAGAATCAGGAGGATCAGACCTACTTGGTGAGGTGGTATAGGGTGATCAGAGTAGACCTCATCGAGAAGGTGATGTGCAAGCAACGACGTGAAGGCGAGGCTGTTTAGGCAAGTGGTGTCTGAGGGAGGAGTAGTCCAGTCAGAGGAGAAGCGAGAGCAAAGATCCCAAAACAGAGGAGTGCCAGCCTGTTTGGAGAAACGCAAGAAGGCCGGTGGCTGAAAGGGAATGAGTGAGTGTGATACACAGTGGTCGGGGTTACGGAGGTAATGGGAGGGACAGATCCTACAGGGCATGTAGGTCATTGCCAGGATTTTGGCTTTTACTCTCAATAAACCAGGAAGCCGTTGGAGGATTTTTGGTGAATGCATGACGTGGTCTGACTCACATTTTAAAGGGATCACTTTGGCTGCTGTATTAAGAATAGATTATAGTAGGGCGAGGGTAAAAACACAAAGAATAGTTAAAAGGCTGTTGCAGTAATCTGGTGACTCAGACCAAGATAGCTACAGTAGAGTGGGGCAGGGGGAGACAGGGTCAGAGTCTAGATATACTTTGGAAGTAGAGCCAACAAGTTTTCCCGACAGAAGAAAAGAGGGTGTGTGGGAGAGAATTCAAGAATGACTCCAGGGTTTTTGCTTATACAACTAGAAGGATGGCCTTGACATTAGTTGAGATAGGGAAGTCCCTATTTACTGAATAGGTTTCAGGGTAAGATTGGGAGTTCAAAGTCCTGTATGATGAGCTTGCATGTCTGTTAGACAATCAGAGGTGCTTAGTAGGCAGTTGGATTTATGAGTGTGTAGTTTGGGAGAGAAAACTGCTCCGAGATAGACATTTGGGAGTTACTAGCACATTGGGTGGTATGTAAAGCTATGAAACTAATTGAGATTACCAACATAATGATGTACATAGAGAAGAAGACCAAGGACCAACCCTGGGTACTTCAACAGGAAGGCTGGAAACAGAGGAGGGAGCAGCAAAAGACACTAAAGAGAAATCACTGACGTTGGGAAAATGTCAAAAGTGTGTGTGTGTGCCAAGGCAAATGAAGAAAGTGTTACATGGAGGAAAGAGTGATGAACTGAATAAAATTCTACTAATTGATCAAATAAGGTGAGGACCGAGAATTAATGAAGGATAGACAGTAGATGTAAATTGGGAGTGTTACACACATGACAGGCATTTAAGGGATGAAGAAAGTTGTGATTCCAAAGAGATAAGAGCGAAGATAGGGAGAAAAACTAGCTACAAGCTTGATTCAGAATATATATTGACAATGAGAAGGTGCAGGAGGAAAACGATGTTTAGAAGGTTTTGAAAATAGATGATGGAACCAGAGTTTTTGAAGGAAGGGATTATGATAAGATTAAGAAAAGGGGCAAAAACTAAGCCCTAATATAACAAGGAACAACCTATTTTCATCCATTTAG